GGCTCTCCATTTCAGACATTTGGTGCTTATCTTTACAGTCCTGGGAAATATCTCAAGTGATAGGTAATTTTTTTTTTTTTTTTTAATATGGTACTTGCTTTCAACCATATGAGGAAAGATGTCTTGGACACAAAACTCTGGTCTAGATTGTGAGAGGAGAGAATTTTTAGAGTGCTCTCTTAGCTCGTTTCACTTTCAAGGAGAAATGTAGTTAATCCTCTAGCCTGTCACAAAGATCTGTGCGATTATTAAATTAATTATCTGGCAACTGGTTTGGGGCCACCCACGTTTCTTGCTTCACTGTATTTTAATCATTAGCAGCAGCACTATGAGCTGCAGTGAATTCTTGCATGTGAAAGCCTTGCAGTGACAAAGGCTTATGCAAGAATTAACCTTACACTTGCACGTGTTGTGTGCATACATTTCATTCATTGACAGGAAGAGACTAGCACAATTAGCACTATACAGCATGACCATCGACAGGAACTCCTCAGCAGCATACCCAGTTTTAAAGGACTTGTGTTTGTGGTGTGACTGGCACCAGGTAGCGACCCATGATGTCACTCTTAACGCTCATAGGCCCTCCAGGCTGCCTTGACTTTCCAGTCACTTGCGTGCTAGAGTTGTCCGCTCTGACAGTGCCACTTGTATTTTAGTTACTTGTGAGTGTTTGATGTAGGACTGTCAGAGTAGCTAACACTAAATGTGAAGAGTTGTAATGCAGCTTAAGATAGGGTCTGGAGCTGGCAGAGGAGCAACCCTTTCAGGCTGTAAGCTGTAAGGTAAAGCTATGACTGCCCTGGATTACCCTACTATCTACCTCCTGTGTTCCACTAGGTGTTGTGAAAGCTGCCATTCACAGAATACATGCAGTACATATTACTGGTTTAACTTTCTAGCTGAAGAATTTTTCAAGTGAATAAATTATGAACTGTTTTACAGTTAACGATGATTCCGAAATCATTGGTGTCGGGACTTGTTTAAGTACAGGTTTGAACCATGTAATTTTTTGCAGTTTAGAGGGAGCCTTCAAATGGATGTAGTTCACCTGGTACAGAACACTGCCATGGATAGAAAAGTAACCATTCTAGAGTAATTCTTTGCAAAAATATTTGAACACTGCTACAAAGATGATGTGTGTGCTAGGTGAGAAGCAGGTTTCTAGTATTAGGAAGTGTAGCAGCAATAGTTAATGCTTCTTTGACATAAGCTGAGCAGAATACATCTTTGAAGTAAATCTTATTTCCACACCTCTCTTCTAGAAACTGCTCACAATTTCTTTGACTTCTTAACTAGCAATTATTTATTAGAATAGACTGTAATTCATTTTTCCATTAATCAAAACAAATAGCCTGACTTTGAATGCAAAAGAAGGTCTGACTTTAAATTCGATTGGTTTTAGATCCATTTGTGAATTTAAAAAAAAAAAGTAATTGATTAGGTGGAAGTCTCACCTTGTTCCTTAAAATGAATGAAGCACTGCCTTCAGCTCTTATGCTGATGATTTCAGAGGTGGAAGAAGACATCTTAGAAAAGTAAAACAAAGTGAATAGTTTGAGAGCCTCTCTCAAGAGTTAATCCAAATGTCTGTCATCTTCTGTATGCAGTGTGGAAGAAAGATATCAAAGCTGCTTTGGCAAAGCGTGTGGCTGTAGTTTAAGGAAGACCTCACTTCCGCCAGAGAATTGGCATTGATCTTCACTAGAAATCTTGGTTCAGTTGTTGGATTTCATGTCAGGAAGACATTCGGTCTTGTACTGAAGTATGTGCTAAACTTGTTAGCTTATGTGGTTTGGACACAGCCAGTTAATCATAGTAGTAGTACTTTTTATGGACAGTCTTAAATGAATTACAGTTTTAACAGGGTAACTTTAATGCTCAAATGCCAACAGTTTTGTGAATAATACATGACCAGGAGTTAACACTTAAAAAGTGAAGTGCTTGGGTTCGGTTATGTCCACAGTTGTTATGAAATGTCTGATGAAACAGTATCAATGGGAGTTCTGAAGAGATCTGAAAGTGGCTCCCTCCAGAGCATGCTTGTGGGTTGTTTTTTTTTTTTTTTATTATTAAACTAAACCAGGAAATTTGCTAAAGCTGTTAAAATGCAATCTTGTTGGTATACAGCTATTTTCCTTTCTTTTTGCGTGTCTGACATTGCACTCATAATTTATTAGATGTTTGAAGCATGAAATACTCTTTTGATAGTTAATGTCGTGGTTTAAGCCCAGCCAGTAGCTAAGCACCACGCAGCTACTCACTCACTCTTCCCACCTGGCCCCTGGTGGGATGGGAAGGAGAATCGAAACCAAGTAAAACTCATGGGTTGAGATAAGAACAGTTTAATTTTAGAAAGAAAAAGTAAAATGTAATAATAATAATGGTAATGGTGATGAAAAGGAAGATAACAAAAAGAGAGTGAAAATACAACCCAAGAAAGACAAGTGATGCACAATGCAGTTGTTCACCACTCTCCAACCAATGCCCAGTTAGTTCCCAAGCAGCAATCCACCCCTCCTGGCCAACACCCCCAGTTTATATACTGGACATGAGGTCACATTGTCTGGAATGCCCCTTTGACCAGTTTGGGTCAGTTGTCTTGGCTGTGTCCCCTCCCAACTTCTTGTGCCCCTCCAGCCTTCTTGCTGGCTGGGCATGAGAAGCTGAAAAATCTTTGACTTGTTGCTAAGTAGCATTTAGACTAACTGAAAACATCAGTGTGTTATCAACATTCTTCTCATGCTGAATCCAAAACTTAACACTATACCAGCTACTAGAAGGAAAATTAACTCTATCCCAGCTGAAACCAGGACAGTTAAGTTTGCTGAGATTGTTTACTGAGTGACTAGGGACCAGTGTGAGTTGCATCTTGAGGAAACAAAGCATGCTCTGTATTTTAAATCTGATTGCTTTGAAACCTGAAATTACTGACAGTCAGTGTAGAACACAAACCGTACGCTGATTTAGATGAAACAGCTAGAATGTCAGCTCAGTTCCTCAGACCATCTGTAGTGCAGTCTAAAGGCACATAGATGTTCACTTGCTAATTGTGTACTGCTGTGTTGATGTGACTGATGGAGGTTAGATTAACACTATGCCCAGGGCAGGCTTGATGTCTTACTGGGTCCTAAATGAGTTGAATGTATTGTTAGGAGTTGCCGCAGTTTGTGCCCATGCTATAGATGATGTAAAGCTGGTTTAGTAAGGTGAAGCCAGCTTTAGTTGGTACATCTGTCAAATCTGAAAACGTTCATTGAAGAATTCACAGACTGCAAGGGGATTCCGATGCCTTTTGACACCTCTGTGCTTCCTTATTCTAGTCTGCCTGTTGTGACAGTTTTGGAGCCCTCTGTACCAAACAAGGTAACTAGTCTTAGTTGCTGGTTTGTCCTGTCATGTTGCACAAGTCCTTCAGGGAAAAAAAAAAATCACCTATACTCTGGCATTTATTTCCAGAATCTTACGCTTCCTGAATTTAAAAATAAGAGTACTGTCTGAAGATTTATATTTTTCCTCCACCCATCTTTTATGAAGGTCTTTCAGTGGAGCAATGTTCTTCATCCTGAATGAGAGAACAGACTTCGAACTTTCAATATATATCTCCAAAAAGTATCCATTTCTCCCAGGAATTTTATTTATTTTATAGAGCTACTAGTAAGACAGCTATTTATTTACCTTCTAGTTTTCATGCAGACCAGTTGCAAAATATTTGTGGTGCATTGAATGTCCTCTATTTAACTTGCTTCTTTTGCAAGCTTTCCCAAGAAACCTACCCTCTGTTTTAGCTTCCAGTGCTTAGTAAAAAACAGTGTTTGGCTGATTTGTAGTGCTAAACAGAAAACCACCTTCTCTCCCCCTCTGTGCTGCTGCCGCTGCTATCATCAATATGGTATTTGCATATTGATGGCATTTAAGTACTTGATAAGTTCATATGTTATACTACTTGTTACAGATAAATAGAGGTGCCTCACTTAAGGCAATGTGTCATTTCCTTAAAACATGGAATTACACTGGTCAGCTGGCAAAAGCAGTTGCATCTGAAATCATTGGACATTTTACAACATGCCTGAATTTTAGCTTGGTTGGTCAGTTTGGTTTTTAACAAGACCTGGTCATTGAAGAACATGTAAATTGATACTTTAATGTTTTATCTTAATTTGGGAAAAATTACATAGGCTCTTGTTACCCTAGAGAAGCCACTTGAAGTCCATGCTCATTTAATACTTTTCTCTAATTTGTCATTAGCCTAGTTTGTTCTTTCTTCTCTTACTTATCTGTCCATGTTACCTGTCTTGTATGATCTCCTGTTCTGTCCCTCCTTATGCACTGTATTAAAACAGTAGTATTTCTTGGCATATAATTTTGAAGTCTGCATGCAAATGTGGGGGGAGATGAGCTTTCAGTCTGTCCTTTTCTCTATGGAAGAGAGGGTGTTGGTGGCAACTGGTTGTGTGCTGAATGTTTAGTTAGTAAGACGTGCATAGATTTAGCTGTTAGGACTGTATGTCCTCATAGACTGTCCTCATAGAAACAGTTATTCATGATTTCCTATATTGAAGAGGAGGCAGGCTGAAGATACAGGGCATGAATATAATTGAGGAGAATCTGTTTAGAGTGTAGCAAGTAGATGACTTCACAGGTTAGTACCTGAAAGAGTTCATACTAACAGTAAATTAGCACTGAAGCTCTGAGCTAATGATCCTGAATTGGCTAGCTTGAGATACCCTAAAGGCACGTGACCTGCCCCCCACCCTCTTCTGTTTTTAAAATAAGGTCAGTGAAATATTGGCAGTTATAGCTGACATTTAATAAATACATAAATAAAGTAAGAATTTTAATGCCTAATGACCACATTTTTGCCACTGTCAAGAACTTTGGGGTTTTCTCCCACAGAATACCAAATAAGGAACTTTTTTTTTTTTTTTAATTTCTGCTGTTTAGAGCAAGCTTTGATAATATGCATTCTATTAACACTTCCTTTTTTTTCCTTCTCAATTTAGAATGACTTTTCCCATAGTGACTGCATGTCAAGTAATGAGACCAGTTTGCTAGAACGAACCACAGCACCTCATGATGGACTACCGATAGCTTCCCATAGACCTCAGCGAGAAGGTATGTTGTCTGAGGATTCTTTTGAGGAATACTTTAAGGTTTCTTTGAACGCTAAACTCTGCCCGGAGTTGTACAAATCTTGCATCTGTCTTGCTGTTTATCTGAATAAGAAACTGCAATGGTTGGTAAGTATAATAACTTCTCTGCTGCCTGCTTGGTCTTTTCTTTATTATAACAAGATGCCATTCTTGTTAGCTGCTAACTTCTAGGGACTGCATGCATGAAAATTGTTTGCAAATGGGCCTCCTCCTGAAAAAAAGAGGTGGGATTTGGGAGAAAACATGAAAACTTAATTCAATTGTATTAACGGTGTTCAGATTTTTAAAGTAAAACTTAACATGAAGGTACTGTGAAACAGTGGATAGCTTTTGCTGCTTGATTCAGTTGTATGCAATTAGTCTTAAAAAACAAAGAAAGAAAAAACACATAATTAGGAGGTTTTATAGAAGTGGTAGTTTGGAGAAGTGAGAGGCTTTCCATAGAAGTCAGTCGTCTTCGCTCTGTTGGGGAGAATGAGAACAAGGTTTCAGAGTGTAAATGGAACTCTTCTGTGCACTTGTCAGCACAGTTTCTTCTCTTTGAAGAAATGAGCATTACTGAAAACAGATTTATTCTTACCCTTTATTCTCCAACAAGATTAGCAAATCACTTGTCTACTCAAAATTAGTCTTACACTATCCTGCAGGTAGTGAAGAGCTGGCAATCTGGGAAAACTATTGCTATTCCTTTTGTCCTCATAAATGTCCTTTTGTTTCTACTGTGGAGATTTAATTACACTTTGAAGGCAGGCAAATTGAGAGTTTAAATTCCTTGGAAAAAAACACAGAGAAAGATTATGGCAGATTACAGACAACAAACCTGTTTCAAATCCTTTTACAGAGTTCAAAGTGTTCATATGCACAAATTAGAAACACAAAAGGGCGACTCTCTTTAGCAACGCTCTTGAATTAAGTAACAGAAGCACAGAAAAGTTGAATAATTGAATCTAGCAAAGAGCTTAAATAATTCTCAGCATTTGTATTGTCATAGTTAGAAACTACAGTGACAGATCAGAGTCATTTTGTGATATTTGCTATATAGGTATGTGATAGAAAAAGTCCCCACTACAGAAATCTCCTTACTGGGTTAGAAATAGCACTGATAATAAAACATAGTTTTTATTCTCAGCTGTGATGAATATGAATTTTAGAAATCTTGATTTATACTCTAAAATGAAAGCAGTTTAATGTATACATGCTTGACTTAATCCTCCTGAACACCTGTTGTGTCCAAAATAGATGTAGAGATGTAACACACCTCATTGGTTTGTATATTCAAACATTTCTTCTCGGTCTAGCCATTTAGAATATTTAAAGTGTAATTGTGGAAAGAGAATTTTAAAGCGGTCTGTTGAAACTGTGGAACTAAAGCTGTGCAGCAACAGCACTGTAATTACCTGTTGTATCACTTACTATGGTGAAGCATGCAACAGCAACAAAAAGAAGTTACGGAAGCTGAAGGTATTACATTGTGTAATAAAATTTCTTTATACTTGAGGACAAATGTATTTAACATTGAGAGCATTCAATAGTTTAAAATAAACAGTCTCATTAGAAAAGAAGACTGTCTGTGAATGTTAATGGTGTTAGTTTCCATAATTATGTATGCTAAATATATGCATGTAGTGAAATGCAATTTAAACCACTATTCTCAGTTCCAGTCATGGGAATCAACTTTTTAATTAACTTATGAATATCAACTCAGCTGATGGTATCAATTTTAACACTGGCCATTAAGAAACTTTACTGCACCAAAACTCATGTTATGCCATAGTCCTTTTTGTAACAGTGCTTTTATCTATACCAGACAGGTAAAGATTAAGGTCACTAAACATTTGGCTTTTCATGGTATCTTGATGTATGTTACTGACTGGCATCCTTAGCTCATCTCAGATTGCTTTGTAAGAATTAATCTTCATTAACAGATAAAAATGAACTTACTGTCTAGCTCTCTTAACTCGCAGGTAGAGGGTTACAGTCAGTGTACACCAGCAGACTTGGTATTTGTCAGTCTTTCTACTGCAAGGATTAGAAGCTGTAAGACTATCACTAGGCTTATATGCTGGCTTGTTATTCCTTTAAGGAAGTTGCCAATACTTAGTTCTCTTAGAAATGGCATGTTTGATGGGGATGATACTTTAATTGTAACTTTAACAAAATTCATTAAAGATGTTCAAGTTAGATGAAATGGTAATTAGCTAATCTCCAAGAATAAGCTTTGTAACATACACTTGTAGGAGGTTGATTTTTATTTTTTTTATTATTATTATGAGTATCTCCCAATATATCCCACGCAGTTAAAAATTGAAAGGAAAACATTATCTGGTAACACCACCGTCCTCCCACCTCCCCCCAAAAAAGAAAAAAAGTTTCAAAAGCATTGAAAGGAAGCATTGATGGTGTAGGGCTCCTCAAACTGTTTTTTAAATAAAACTTTTTACATGTAAAGATGTGTTCATGCTTGTAAAGGAATAAAATTCTGTTGAGTTCTTAGGCCAGCATAGCAGGAAAAGTGAAAAGCCCATCTCCGCTACATAAGGATTTTTATCTAGAGTATTACCTGAACAATGTCATGTGCCCTCAAGATCTCCAGGCTGTGAAAGCCATATAGTGCTGCTGCTTTCCAAGTCACAGCCATAACTTGCCTATTCCTGAATACAGTAGACTATGGGGAAGGAATATTAAAGTAGCAAGTACTTTAAAGTACCTTTCTTCCTTTTCAGTTAAATTTAATCGTACTCTTTACAGTATGATTGTAGTAGCCTTCTGCTTCTCCTCTTCATTTTCCGTCTGCTAACACTCATTTCTCTCTCCTTCAGGCCTTCCCCAAGTGTTTCCTTCCACCTAAGTGCCTTTCAGAAATACAGTGGTTCTGCCTTAGTTTGTTCTTATTACTACTTGACGTTTCAGAAACGTGGATGTAGAAGGCACTGTCACTGGCTTTTATCAGCACTTGTTACTTCTTGGAGTAAAGATGCAATTTGACTTCCTTTTATTGACTTTTCACCTAGAGTGGTTATATTGTTGTATTTATGTGACTTTTGGTCTAAATAAGCTCTTTGGGTAATGCACAGATTCCCATGATCTGCAATGAAGGGGTTGTGGTTAGGCCAGAGAAATACTTTGTAGAGAACAAGGCTCCACCTGCCCCCTGCAGTTTGTTATAGTAAAATAGCATCTGAGGAAGAGTGGGGTTGTGTGAGTCAATAAATAGCATACAGTGATTCTCAGTGGCTAGATAAGCAGATGCATTTTCAGACTGTAATTTTGACATGTACAATAAGGTGTTTTTCTTTCAGCTGTACACATTGAGAAGATAACCCTGAAAGGAGTACCAAGAAAAAGGGCTGACAAACATTTGGAGTACACATTCAAAGTAAGCAAATGACCTCCAGAATATTAAAGTAATTGTCTTCAGGATATCTGTGTATTGTAGATATATATAGCTTGCTTCAAATACCTGCTCAGAAGGCAATTTTGAATTACATTAGGGTCTTCAGAGATTCTTGGAATTATCCTATAATTCTCTTGGATTCTGTGTGCAGATTGGGTGTTTTATGTAATTGTGGGCATAAGGTGGAAATGTGTAAAACACCAGCCATAGCTGGGTGTGTGACATGACTTCAGGAAACTTGGCATTTCCTAATTTGGGGTAAGCATTACAGAGAATTCTAAAACTAGTTGATCATTTGCTCAAGTGGCATAGGAGCGCAGCTCTTATGTCTGCAGCTATATATTTCTTGGAGTCATATGGTCATCTTAGGTCTCTTTCATGAATGTTTACCATAAGAGAATGGCTCCTGTGATTTTTGGCAAAACTGAGAGTTGGTTGGTTGGTTTGTTTTGGGGTCTGTTTGCTTGTTAAGGTAAAACCAAACAAGCTAAAAAATGTCAACAAACTTGAAGGCCTACCTGGTATAGTCGTCATGTATTACAATAGCCAGAGGCAACGTATAAAACAATTATGTGAGTGAATTTTAAACAAAACCGAAACACTGCTGCTTACTACTTTGGAAGAGAAGCTTTTGATATTGAGGTCTGGTATTAAAGTCTGTAGGTGTTAAATAATAGCTGCTAAGGCTGTTGGTGGTTATGTTCTATTTGAATCAAAGTACTAATTTTCTTAGCAAGGACTGACTAACATCATGAGTCATTTGGCCAATAGATATTAAGTCTGGTAGTATGCCAGTTTTGCACACAGAGTTAAATTTTACCTTTTTTCCCCCCAAACAAAAGAATGTTTTAGATGAACCATTATAACTGGCCATATGACATGGGTCGTGGGAACTCTTTGAAGAGACAAACTTTAAAAAATGCCATTTTGAGATGAAAACCGATGTGTTGATCCCAAAGTTTGATATTGTATTCTTTAAATGAATGTGAATTATGGAGTTTAGTCTTTCCTGGTATTACTAGAAGCTTGAAATTTGAGTTAAGTTGACATGCATACTATCTCTGTTTTTGAAGTAAGGTAGTGGCAACAGATACCTTGTTGTTGATCATGTCTGAAGGTGAAATTTGCAAAAAATTCTGCCCTCTTCTTTTGCTGAGGACAGTAGTGTGGAATGTAGCCTTCAAAGTCTTAAAGGTTAACTTGCCCAAGTATTTCAACCTTGTCATAGATCTTTTGTCCAAATAGTCTGTGAACTGAGTACTAGGTAAAATACAATAGTAGGTAGGAGAGGTTTGTACAGAATGCCCATATGGCTTATTAACATTTAAAGTCACAAAACTATTTTGAAAATTCAGCACTTAGATGGATTTGACAGTGGTTTTGAATTTCTCTGTTAAAGGGGGAATGTGGAGATTTTCTGGGAAGTATTTGAGTAAGCTTGAAACTCCTCCACCTCAGTTCTTTTAGGATAGAGTTTCCTCTTCTCATCTGTACAGGTATATACTGTGCTCCTCACTGCAGATCATTTTATGCTTGCCCAGACACTGCTTTTTTAAGGTTATAACAGCAATTACAGTCATGGCTTCCCAACTGAGGGCACCAAGAGTAGCTGGCGTTTTTGGAGACTACGTTGAAAGCAGTTGGTGGTTGACATTATTCTATCAACTCTTGGGAGTAAATGAATATTTATAATTGCCATGTCCACTCCCATTACACAGAATCTTCCCATGCATGTAATGGGAATCTTAAGCCCAGAAGTGGGCTTAAAGCCAGGCAGCACTCATCTAACCAAGCTTACTTCTTTTTACTTCCTCAAAGTACGCATGTGAAGGTGCTGTTTTACTACTTGCATGTTGTGTCAGAATAATAAGCTACTGAAATTTTTGCGAGCATATACCAAAATGCTGTCTGATTCTTGAGTACCTTCTTTAGTAACTTGCATTAGTACTTTTTTATGAATTGTACCCTACGACAACTTCTGTATGACCATGTGAGATTCAAGCGTGAGGCAGATAAACTTATTTTATAGGCAATATGAACAAAAAGAGAAATTTTTTTTTTTTTTTTTTCTCATGATAATGGCAAGAAGAGCTCAGTCCAGTATGTCTGACCTACAGTCCTTTTATCTGGTACTTGGTTTTTGCAGTTAATGATGTCTGTTTGATACCAAAGTCCTGTAATTACAGAGCCTTCTATCTGGCTTCTTTCTGAGTCAGTAAGTCAGTAATCTTGAGGGACTTGATTGCATTCACCTGAATTTGTTCATACTCCCTTTAGCCACAAATAACATGAAGGTGAATCTTAAAATGTACACTCAAAATTAGTACATGTCTTTGAAAAAGTACACAGTTATCCCTGTACTGCCTGGTATTTACTTATCTGCAAGTGTTAACTCTTAAACCAAGATTGTCAGATTTATGGAAATGTTAAGATCAGATAGCTGATATGATATTTGGAAAAAGAAACTTTCCTCATTTTTTTTCTTTTCCTATCTTACTAGGTAACCTGGTCCGATCTTTCGGTAACATGTGTAACAAAAACACACCAGGAGCTTCAGGAATTCCTGCTAAAAGTATGTATTGAAATAAAAAAAAAAAAAAATCAGGTTTATAACTTCAGAAGTAGTCTAGGAGAGCTGTGATTTCTGGGATGTAATTACAGGAACAAAAGCATGCTGCCAGATTTTTGTACTTCACAATTGTATTAACCATTTAAATCACGTATGTGGTGGTGGAGCAGCTTGACAGATGAAGAAGGTCAACACAATGTTTAGGGAGTTTCCCAGGAGGAAATCATTTGTCTCATCTGAAATTGATCTTACAGTTTTAATTGAGCTACCATAAAGGTACCAGATGAGTTTTTAATACTCCCCACAGAGTTAACATATAGGTACAAGTGCTGCTCGTTTGCTTATTGGTGTCCCTGTTAGAATGACCTTAAACAGTATTATTTGTTGGTTTTAATTAATGAAGCAGAGCCATGAGCATAATAGTTCTTAATTTTACTGTTGTATTCTTCAGTGGAGTAAAGGCAGGCGTATTCACTGTTGCCAGGAGTTACATTTGAGGAAAATCTAGCAACTATTTGTGCGTGTGTGTGTTTAAAAAAAGTACAAGTTCTCTAAGTTGTTCTCCCTCCCCCACCCCCCCACCCCAAGCAGGGAATGCATTTGTGTGTATAGGCCACATGCAAACCATATACGTGTGGTGACCTTGAACTGTGTGTTTCATTGCCAGTGTCTAATATTTGGGGTTCCACCTATTCTGGGAGATTCTGTGTTTAAACTCACTGTTCAGGGGACTAATGAAAGATCTGCTTTGGGCATGTTTTGATGGCATCTGGTGTTCTTAACTGCGTGTTAATTGCAAGTGGAAAGCCAGTTACTGTACAAAGGTCATTGTCTTATTCACTGTTTCAGTTATCAACATTATGTTTTCCAGCATTGTAGAAACGAAGCAGTGAGTATTCACTGCTGCTTTAATCTAGTTGGAATACCTAGTTCCAAGAGTTCCCAGAGCTTGATTTGTGAGGATTTCAATTATGGATGGCATGTCTGGTTGCGGATGGGGTGTCCCACAACGTAGGGTACATGCATCTGCTCCTGAAGAGAACCTTAAAAGCAGGACTGTCGTACAGGATCCCACGCAGATGAGTGTTCAACTGCATGCTTCCTGTTCTCCTACCTGTAAAGTAAAGATGAACACCAGTTTCTGAAGTGGACCCTCTAGTACCTACTTGCTCCTAGGAGGAGGCGGAGGAGCCAGGAAAACAGGATGCAAAATGTTGCAGAGCCATCTAGTTTGACTGACGGCAGCTCTTCGGATGTGGAGCGTTCCATGTGCTGGCTTGACTGCTCCAGCAGATTCTAGATACATAGAAGATAGCAGGACAAGAGGAAGACAACCACAGGCTGCTACAAGCTTGCTGAGGTGTTCTGGAGAATGTGCATAGCTGAAAAATATATTTGGTTTGTGTTGGTTTGATAGCCATAAGTAGAGAAGAAAGACAGAATTGTTAAATAAAGCACGATAAAACTTATACTTTGCTTTAAAAAGCACTGTAGAAGAGAATGCTGTCCAGTACATATGCACTTGCATTTTGGCTTTTTGTTATTCTTATTTCCAGTCTGCATGGCATTGTTAAGTAGTATGCTCAGTTTCCTAAGGACAGAAAAGAATGGTCAAAATAATTGATAGGAAATTCCAAGGTTGTGGGTGATAGGAGTAAGATAACTGTAAAAATTTTTTCAGAATAGAAGCATTGGTGGGGAAAACTAAGATAGTAAATGGGATAACTTGGATGCTTTATATTTAAAGAGCACCTTCTCTTAGGTGATAAGCATAAAAAGTTCTTCGCATGTAGGAAATTACCCACGTATCTGGAAGGAGGGCTGAGCCTTGTTACTGACAAGCTTATATCTCATTACCTGAAGTTAAGATAATTCAAGCACCTAATCTTGGTTTTGTAAACTGAATCTTTAACTACAGAAGGAATTTAATTCCTTTTAATAAAAGTTCTAAAGAAAAAAGTTGTGGCTGTTCCTGGGGACAAATTTAAATACAGAACACCAGGACAGGAGGTTTACTTACCTCTGTGCTTCTGCAGTAGCTTTTTGGTACCTTTTGGTTAATACTGACTAATTCTTCAGAGTTCCTCAATAGCACATATTAAAGCCAAAGGGGTCAGTTAAGACCAGCTGCTTTCAACACTTCTTTCTGGTTTTGTATCTAATACACTTCAGGTGCTATAGCACTGTACTAATCCAATACTAACAGCACCTGTCTGTGTGGGTTCCAGAAGTTGCTTTTAGGTATGTTACCAAGCAATTATCTACATTAGACATAGTGTCTCTCTATTAGTAGCTTTTCATTCAGTGAAAGAATTACTGTTGTACCACTAGCAGGATGTAATATCCAGCTGGCACTCTGGATTGGGTGTATTCCAGATATGCTAGAGGAAGATGCTGCTCTAGTGTAAATTACTTAATGCTGTTGATCATAACTGATGGCAGATATTAACCAGATTAGCGATAGCTTTTAACTTCAGGAAAAAGCATTTTTGCTATGGCAGTTTACTTCTAATTGCTCCCAAATTAAAGGACTTTTAAAAATATAAATTAATGAATTTGATCAGCTTTGATGTACTTAAGTACATCATTTTGGAAGTGGTAAAGGTGAAAAATCTTTGTTCTAGGGAATATTTTCATTTAAAATAGACATGCTCTTTAGTAGCAGGAGTTTTGCCTTCTGAACTAGAACATCAGAAGACCTCACTTTGTAATACTGGCATTGGAAAGAGTTACAATGAATTTTCATAAGTTTCAGTGTTAATGGCAACTGGAGAAGGACTTGCTATTGAGTAATCTCAATATTGCCCACTGAAGTCTAGTGTATTACATAACTGAAACAGTCCCCTTTCTACTCCTGTTTCTTTAAAATAATTTAATGTAGCTAAGTGATGATAGTAAGTACAGTGCATTTGTCCTCCCTGGTAATTTTTTTTATGTTATTTTCAGAGCTATTTTCTGTGTGTGAAAGATTTAAAGAAATAAAAAAGGCTGTAAATTACTCTGGAAAAGAACTTAGTATTGGTAAATTTCTGTATGTAGTTCTTTCAAACAGAGCTTTAAACCATCTTACACCTGGGTTTGATGTGAGGATTTACACCAAGGTGTTTCTCTAGCAAAACTAAATTATGATGATTTGTTGTACCTTTGGTCTGTAAATTACCTTACTCAGACTGGAACAATAGAGTTTCTTGTTGATACCAAAAGGTATAAAGACTGATGGTGAACAAATATAGTCTTTAAAATGTCAGCTACTCATTTTTCACATTAACCTTTTTCTCAGCTCCCAAAGGAACTGTCTACTGAAGCATTTGACAAGACTATTTTAAGAGCACTAAATCAGGGTTTTCAGAAGAGGGAAGAGCGAAGGCACGCTGATCTTGAGCCCGTAATCAGGTAAATATTTTAGCAAATAACCTGAAATGCATCACCTGAAAAGTGATTGGAGTCAAACTAGATGACTGTTGGGGACAATGGAAATTCTGCTGCCTAAACACAATTGGTGAAGAAAATGGGAAGGCAGTAATGAAATAGATATTCTTGACTCTTATTCTTTTTTCTTTAAATTGAGACTCTTATTAAACTTTAATAGATTACTTCTTTAGAAGTAATCATACAACTACAAAAATATTTGTCCTGAGTAGCAGTATATAGCAATGATTGGCACTTCTGTGAGGGTCTTACCTCCATTATCCAAGGGTATATTTAGAAATACTAGAAACAGTAACTCTGAACATATGTTCTGATTTTATGACAGGTTAGAGTGAGAGAGAATAGAAATTGGAAAGAATAAACAGTAATAGTGAAGCATGTATGTAAAATTAAATGTAGCTCACACACTTGTAAGAAAATGGCCCATACCTCATAACCTACTATTTAGTGATGAGAGTGCTTGCTGGGATGTGGGACATGTTGGTCAAATCCTGTAACTCAGAACAGCAACATGAATTTGGGTGTGCCTCCCTGTTCTTTTTGTTTGCTACAGATGTCTTGTTACATTTGTTCTTTTCTGTCAAGGTTGTTCAACCTTGTTCAAAACAATTTAAATTAGTTATCAGGTTAGGCAGCATCTCTTGAGTTAGGGTACTTGCTGAATCAGGCACTGCTTTTCAAGCTCCTACTCAGAATGTACTGCGGGTCCAAGCATATCAGACCTTTGGGTTTTGTCTTAATAACTTAGCTTAAGAAGATAGGGAGCCACTGTGTGTTTCAACCTCCCCCTTCCCGATATTCTTTTATTTTGATCTGTAATATTATTTGTCTGTCTTTATTGGCTTGATTGTCAAGCCAAAATCTAAATCTGTGCAAACAATTTTGGCTAATAAACATTCTGGTTTTAAATGAGCAAACTTGTTACATAGAGGTTGACTGAAGAGAATGTATTGTAATACAGAAAGGTTGTGAAGCCTCACTGCACAGTAATTACAAACCCAAGAGATTCAGTTTGAGGATAACCTCTGAACATATCCAACCATGTTGTAGTATGGAACTACAATTACAATTTGCAAATTATGTTGTGACTATACTGGAATGCTACGTGAATAATCTCGTGATAATAGCATTACTGTATACAAATTTTGTTTTCTTACAGTGTCAAGTTTAGCAGATATATATATACACTTATTTGGGGGTCTTAAGTTGTGCCAATTGCCAAAAATTGCTCTCCTGCTCACATCCTCAAAAAAAGTAGAACTGGGTAGTGCTTCCTGGCAAGCAGTAACAGAAAACTTGGTGTGAGATGTAAAACCCATTCATTCTTGGCCTATTTTCTTATCTGAAGCTAATAGAATTTGTCACTGACCTCTTGGGAACAGACTCAGAGCAGTGTGGAGCAATATTGAGAATCCCACTCTTTGCTCTTGGAGATAATTATGAAACTCAAATACTGACATTATTGGTGAATTCAACTTTGTAGTTAACCAAATAAGTGTATTTAAGGAAAAGATGCATTGTTTTGGGAAATTAAAAGCCCTCTCAGTTAGAAAAAAAAAAAAGTTGAAAAATAAGGGCCAGTGCTTTTTGACTCAGTTCAAACTCCTCTTTGATAAAATGTTACAGGTGGCTAAAATGTTTGAATTGAGATGGCTGAAAAGCACTTACTTTTAAATTAAAAAAATTCATCATACCAATTTCTTATATTGGCTGTACTCCGACCTTACACTAGCACTGAACAGCAAAACTCCAAAGTAGCATTTAACGTTGTTTATGCTGAACATGCAATTTGAAGTGTTTGGACTTGTTAAGAACTGCCTAATTTGCTGTTAAATGGTACTGTAGTAAATTTTTGTATTCTTCCTATGCAATATTGCTTACAGTTTAACAAACTCTCACTTAATTTTCAGGCAGCTATTTTCAAATACATCGCAAGCTTTTCTTCAGAATCAGAGAGTATACAACTTCTTCCAATCAATTTCATCAGAATCTTTGCACACTCACAGTAAGAAATATCCTAATACTGTTTTATATAACAAAAAGTCTATAAAAAGCTATTCTTCCTGTTGTGCCTAATTACAGTTTTACAATTATGTATTCATGTTACATTGTATTCCACTGGTCGTATTTGAACTCCCTGCCAACGAGTAGTGGCTTCAGCAGATTCTCGTGCTTTTAACAGTGGGAACGTGCTATGTAGCATCAGCTTGTGTTCCTTTCTTTCTTTCTTCTCCCCTGTACCATCATGCTATTAAAATAGGTAATTAATGAATTGAGTATGTGCAACAGTGTGGGACTTTTTCCTTTTAAGAAATCTTAAACTTTGGAACAAAAAGCTTGAGCTGACCCAAAAAATCACATCTGTTTTTTACTTGGTTTCTTTTGTAGATGAAGTGTTTGTCTTGATATTTAAACTAAGATTCATTTTGGGTACATAGTACATAAATGGTGGGATGGCCCTAATTTCAGAACATACAGAAACTCGTTCAGAGGATTTGCGTTGCAGAGATTTCCTTGGTGGACCTCTTATCTACTTGTGTATTACAAATCGTGAGACCTAAGCTTAGCTTCTCTGTGTGGATGCCTTAGGATGTGATCTTTGTTTCTGTTGAATCTTTTCTTCTTTCAGTGCATGTTTACACCATGACAGTTAAGGCACTGACTGTGAGGCCACTGCTTCAGAAGTTGCAGAAGATCTTAGTAAGGAATTGAATAAGTTGGAGTTTTCAAACAGACTGCTCATATGCGCTTGGAAGAAAATAGAGGAATGACGGCTGACTTTAATTTGAAATGTTGCATGTGATCTGTGCCAAATGTAGTCTTTCCATGATGAGATGGAGGCATTGTGATTAGGGTAGAAGCTGGAGGTCATTTTATGACACTTTTTTTTTCTTTTTTTTAGTAACACTGAGGACATTCTTGCATGGCAGTTTTGTGAAAATGTTAAGTTAATGAGGTCCAGGATAGTTGTGAAACTGGCTGGAATTTACTGCTGTGAAAATTCTGACAACTCTCTTGTACTGAAAGGCTGCATGGGGAGGAAAGAGTTCCCAAAGTCCAGAAAGATTCATGTTAATGACAGGCACACTGCACAGGCTATGCATATTATAGTCTGTAGACTACATCTAGGTGGGAAAGACTTGCAAATGCATTGTTTTACATGATTATAGTTTGAAATGGTCTGAAAAAGAACCAGTGCCGGGTTCCATCATGATAGACTTGACTGCGTTAGTGCAGGGCAGAAATGATCTGCAGGGTATGTAAATCAGAAGGGTAGAATGGAAAGATGTCAATTCTGAAGGAAGTCTTACAGATTATAATGTGATCGTAAAGGGGAGGTAATTTTTATAAATAAATAAATAATTGGGTACATGAAAGTTCATCGTGATTTGTCAGATCTAGAATGCATGACAGATAGGATGGGGAACTTAATTGTTTAACAGAGAGGAGGAAAAATTCCAGTGGAGGATGACTTAAGTCTTCAAATACCAAAGAGTCATAATGTAAAGAGGATGATCTACTCTCTCTGATGGTTAAGACAGAAAGCACTGGGCTTAATTTGCTATGAGGAAGATTAGGACCAGGGGCAGGCAAGAACCTGGTGATTACCAGACAAGTCTAAAGCGGTGAGGCAGGTCTGAGGTCAAGGCAGAAAAACAAGTTACTAGGTCACGGTTAAGAACAGGATCAGTGAGGTATGTGGCCAGGCACAGGCATGGCTGCCGTGCACCCCAGGCAAGGGCCTGAGCAATGAGCTTCAAATGCTGCTCCCAAGCCAAAGGATGGAGGCCCTGGATGAGGCCTCTTCCAGTTATTTTCCCAGCAGTCTCACCCAAAATTGCAAAACTGCGCTGTATCAGATTGGATCTTGAGCACAGTCAGGTGAAGCCGTTGGGAGGGCAGGGGAAGAGGTTGCAAATCCCATTGGTGTGGTTCAGGGCTCTGACACTGAGTTAGATCTTAAGAAAAAGTTTGGTGAAGACAAATAGTGCGATAAATTTAAGCATAGTTGTTTTTCTTTTGAGAAGGGGGACTGGGTGACTTGTCTGGAGTAGCTCACAGTCACGTTTCCTATGGTGCAGGCTAATAGAAGCTGTACTAAGACAAAAGTACTCATCCTGCTTATTGCCACAATTACCACAGTTAAGTGGCTCGAGGTTTTTCTATTGGTGGCCTCTGTGTTTTTCTAGGTTTCCTGTTTGGGATTCCTGGAATACTGCTAATGCTTGCAATTGCAAGTTAGCCTGTGGTAGCATATTTTGAATGTGGTGACAGTGTTGGGGGAGGAAGCATATCTTTAAGAAAAATCTCATCACAGTTCTCAAATAGGATGTGCAGAATTAATTGGCAGACAAAGGATTTGTAGCTTAAATTTTTCTTCAGTCGCTATTTAGAGTTGGGGATAAAAATATCTCTTCACAGAAATACAAAAATATTCACTCTTTCTGAAGAATATGGTTTTAGTAAAACCTATGTGGAAATAAATTCTATGTTCAGTGAAGGGTCTTTATACCCTAAATAATAGTTGGGTTCTCACACTGAATAATATATTCAGTAAGTGTAATTATGCCGCCATGGTTCCATTAAGGAGGAAATCAATTATCTCCCTCCTGGTTCATAACATCAGTTGTTTTACACTTTCAGGTTGCAGTAGACTCTTGATTCCAACAGACTTTATTAGAGCATCATCTCTGGAGACTTAGTATCTTCAATGCAGACAATATTCAGAAGGATCTTCTTATCAATGTTTCAAACTCCTAAGCAACAGCTTTCAGATGCTTTTACCTGCACTAACTTGGAACTTTTTGAGAGGGAAAGAGTAGACTCCTAGAGTTAGATTCATTACCAAACTACTAAGTCCTTTTTCAGAGCATGGCAGTGGTATTTTTGCAACAAAACTGTTAATATTGCCACTTCTTTTTCCATCCCATCTGGCATAAGAAGAAAAAATTGTGTGTGAAGACTGTATTAAGGGCACTAGAAGACTTTAGCCCAAATTAAGTCTCTTTTGACAGGGAAATGATTTGACAATGGAGGAGTGTAACTTGTTGCAGAAGAATTTGAATAACTATCATTGGTCTCCTCCCATTTCCTGCTGTAACACAAAAGGTTTATAAAAAAAACCTGAAGTGCAGGATAATAGGAATGTTTCTAATACTATAATCACAATCCCAACCTTTTGAAATTGCACCATAGCTTTAAAATTGTTTTGCACGCTCTTTTCTTCAAAAGTATCTCCATAGAGCCTTTACTCTTGGAGATGGCCTGCTTTGAAGGAGACAATGTTCAAATTATTGCCACATGCAAACGAGTAAGTTCAGTCTTCCATTTCCCTAGCTTCCAGTTTAGTGCAAGCATTCAGGAACTGTCTAGTTTTTCGAGATCTATAAAGTTACTACGTGAACTTTATTCTCTGCAGGTAACTTACAACCCTCTTTGAAGACGGTTAAGGCACCAGAACACTTCAAGGAGGACAGTTCAGAAGCTTCAAGTCAGGAGGAAGGTAGTTGTTTACTCAAAGGTGGTTCTTTTCTGAGAAATTTTGCCACACTCAGTTCTGGAAATCATATAGTTGACTGATTTCTTCATTGGTACAAAGCCAAGAGATTTGAATGAAATCTGCTATGTAAATGAAGAATTTTTATATACTTTCAGCAGTTTCCTTTGGAGGTTGCTATGTAATTCAAGGAGTGGGAGTGTTCATAGACAGCTTGAAGGCAGAAGTTCACAGCTGTGTTGAGCAACCAGGAAGATATACTTTACAATTTACTTGAGCCAAGATTGTTTTTAGCTTTTCGTGTCTTTACCCATTCTTTAGTTACCAGGGTTTGAAGTTGAGTGCAGCACTTCAAGAGTTGCAGACTGTTTTGCATTAAATGTGACAAATTTGTCTAGCTTTTAGTTTTACACAGAAAGGATGTTCAAGTTTTCTTATTCTTAACCTATGCTGCTTTTGTACTCTGGATTGTTAATAAGGACTGTTTGGGACTATAGGGAGTATTAATTGCAGTCTGAAAGCTGGTGTTTCCCAAATACCTCAAAAACAGTTCACATGTGGAAGCAACGGCCTAGTGGCTGGTCAGTAATTTCATTCTGAAAGGAATGGCAAGCCAGTTTTGTGTTGTTTTCAGTAGCAAACAAGTGTAAGCTTGTGGTAGGTGGAAAGGATGAGAAATGGGACTGATAGGTGAACATGGACCACTGAACACTTACACTAGCTTTCACAGAATGACACCACTCTTATTAGTTATTAATGTGTAACAGTATAAGAAGCTTGCGGTTGACCTGATGTGCAATCATTAATCCACATATGCAGTTCAGACAGCTTTTTCTTATTTTAAAAAAATCATTACCATATTCTTTAGAGTTCAGAACGCACCAAGTAAATTTACAATATATTTGGAAATTGCTCAAATAGTGGTTTATATACTGTCCTTAAAAAAAAAAATAAATCTGTTCACCTAATGAAACTACAAATGCATTTCAGAACACTTTTTGTGCCATTTTAGTGAAGTGCTACTAGAAGTTTAAAAATTGTGATTTTTTTTTTCCTTTTTAACTTTTTTTTTTCCAAATCATAATTTGGACTTATGTAGCATTGAGAGGAATTCAGGCAAAATGATAGCTACCAAGAAGGCTAAGATCATCAACAGCTGGAATTAAGAAAAGTTGCTTTTGTTAAAATTTAATGGTTGCCTTAAAGAAAAGGGTAGACTATGTCTCTAAAGTTCTTGTTTCTTGTTTGAGGCAGTATTTCTTTTTATGTCAAATGTAATTTGTAAAGTTTTACTTACATAGTGAATTTTGAGGTTCAGTGCAATACTTCTGTGTAAGACTCGTCTTCATTCACTATTCAGAATGTGTGACATAGTTTTGAGATGAATTTTAGCAGTTCAGAAAAAATTACAAAATTCTGTACTTTTCTGAGTCCTTTCTTCTCTCTCCATCCTTTCATACTGGGTGATACTCAGTCGTGCATTTAGTCCTTATGCTTAAATATAGAGGTGAGCAAGCATAAACGGTTGTTATGGTTCCTATTTTTCTGTTTCATTCTTCTGTGAAATGGAAGGTGAAGAGTCTTGATTATACTGTCTGTACAAACTGATCTGTCCTCTATGCAACACCTGTTAATTTCAGCACTGTAAATTAAGCCTAGCCTATTTATTGGAGATGTCTTCTGCTAAGAGTCCGGTAGTGATGGAAAGGTGAATTTGTTGGATTGATCTAAAAGAGGAAATAGGAATTGCTATTGAAATTATGCTTTAATTTTTTTTCCAGATGTAATGCAACACACAACAGTTCACAAGAAACATAATGGAAAAAGTCCTGTTGCCAAGTAGGTACTAGGATGTAATGTGACCGTGATACATTTCTGAATTTCATTTGTTAGTGCTTTGAGAGTGTGTGTTTCCTTCTAGATTAAAGCTTGTTTGTGGGGTTTTTGTTTGGTTGGGGTGGGGTGTTCTTTTTTTATTTTTTGTTGTTTGGAGGGATGTTACTAACTTAATCCGTATTAGAAGAATATTTCAAAAGATGCTATTTCTAAGTCTGTAGCTCTAGGTCATTTGGAACTCTCTTCTTTCCCAAATTTTGTGAATCTTCACTACTTGAGTTGATGTTTTGATTTGTGTTTATAAGCTGAGTAACATAAATTTGTATTCCATGTATTTTTTCCCATGTGCACACACCACCATGCTTATACTGAAAATTTCCAGTGCTGTTGATTTTAAGCTTGTCTTCAGTAGCTTCAGAGATTACCTTATAGGAGAAGGTAGTCCATTTTTTAGCTTGCTTAGCAGCAAAAGCATGTATGCATTGCTGTTCTATGTCCATTGTAAGTGGAAGCACTTTTTAACCATATTACAGTAGTTTATATACTGTTATGATGTTCAGCAAGGCCAAGTGCAAGGTCCTGCACGTGGGTCAGGGCAATCCCAAGCACAGATACAGGCTGGGCGATGAGTGGATTGAGAGCAGCCCTGCGGAGGAGGACTTGGGGGTATTAGTGGATGAAAAACTGAGTATGAGCCAGCAATGTGCGCTCACAACCCAGAAAGCCAATCGCATTGTGGGCTGCATCAAAAGAAGCGCGGCGAGCAGGTCGAGGGAGGTGATTCTGCCCCTCTACTCTGCTCTGGTGAGACCCCACCTGGAGTGCTGTGTTCAGCTCTGGGCCCCCCAGCATAAGAAGGACGTGGACCTGTCGGAGCGGCCACAAAGATGATCAGAGGGCTGGAGCACCTCTCCTATGAAGACAGGCTGAGAGAGTTGGGGTTGTTCAGCCTGGAGAAGAGAAGGCTCCAGGGAGACCTTATGGCAGCCCTCTATTCCCCGAGAGGGACTTTTTACAAGGGCATGTAGTGATAGGACAACGGGTAATGGCTTTAAACTGAAAGAGGGTAGATTCAGATTAGATGTAAGGAAGAAGTTCCTCACTGTGAGGGTGGTCAGGCACTGGAACAGGTTGCCCAGAGGGGCTGTGGCTGCCCCATCCCTGGCAGTGTTCAAGGCCAGGTTGGATGGGGCTTTGAGCAGCCTGGTCTAGTGGAAGGTGTCCCTGCCCATGGCAGGGGGGTTGGAACTAGGTGATCTTTAAGGTCCCTTCCAACCCAAACCATTCCATGTTTCTATGATAACGCTTTCAGATACATGAACTATGTAATATGGATTCACCCATTAATGTATTTTGACCAGAAACTTCAGGTATGTTTGCACATAGTTGTGCAGTTCTTCAACTATATTAAGAGAAAAAATGGATACAAAATTTATTGTGGTTTATAGTTTTGTTCTCTGTTGTTGTATTTCTAAAATATATTTATCTTGGGGGCAGGAGGGTATTATCTGGAATTACAATAATTAGAATATAAACATAGCACAAAACAATGTTGGTTAAGGTTCACATATCTTTAACAGACAAGATTTCTGTCAAATTACCAATTAGACAACTTGGTGGTTTGCTTCTGTTTTATTTTTTAACTCTCTTACCTACTCTTAACTTGCGTTTCTTTAAGAAGAGAATGTCATCTTGACAAAATCTCTAATTATACCAGTTGTATATGAAGTCAGACTAACAAGTAAAGTGGGATGCAAACTTACTAGCATATAGTTACTAATAAAAAAAAAATCTTATTCATTGTATAATAAAATACACTAAAGCTGACTGTAGTTTAGCATCTATCTTTCAGGTAGGAAAGACAGCGACAGGCCTTTCCACAAACTTCCGTGGTAGAAACTCCTTTTGCTGGCTATTATTTTCTGTTTATTTGAGAGGGGAAAATGTTTGCTACTTGACTGCTAAGAGGTCTGTTGGTCCTCTCCTGTTTGCATTATATGTGTCTGTCTTCTTAAAAAGTGTGCCTGCTATTTATGGGTTCTAAAGAAATGGCAGTGAATGAAACCTTTCTCTTTTAAATATTTCTAAAACTGTGTAGAGTCAAGAGGGGTTCATCTCAAATACCGTTGGTACTTTTCAGGAAAATTTGTACATTACATCCGTCTACCTTTTGTTTTTATCCAGTATGACAGCCTTACTCTTGGAAAGGTCCAGAAATTTACTGGTAGGGATGAGATCGGATGTATGAAATAAAAAATTCGGTGGTATCACAGCTTACATGAAATGACTGTAAATTTGGCAGCAGATTCACTTAACTCCCTTTGGCAGAAGTTTCTAAAGTGACCTTGCTTATATCTCTGTGGTCAGGGGCTCATGTCGGTATTTTGGGACCCTCTTGGGTTCTCACCATTTTCTTAAACTTTTTTTAATATTCTATTGTACATCTTTTAAATGGTTTGAGCACTTACTTCCAGAGGTATTTGGTAAGTAGCTACTGGAACTTCAGCATGTCTTGGGCTTTGGAGTGAGCTAGATTACAAGCCGTCATGGGAAATGAGTAACATTTCATGTTGCAGTAACCTTCATGAAGCAACTTGCCAACAGCCCTGAATTAAAAGGCACTTTCAATTATCAGCATAAATATTTTAAATATTTTTACAAGAATTTAGAAGTCTTAACTCTTTTGGGGGGGGGGTGCATCTGGTCAGTAGTAGGACATGGTTTTGTATGATAGATGAAAAGTTTATAGTTCCATGTGCCCTACTGATTCTGTCAGAACCCTGACTGCTTTTCTGGCAGTCTTTGTTGACCAGTGCTCTCACAGCTAGTTAAATACTGCTTCTGACTGGCTGCTGTGAAGAGAAGCTTCATTAGAAGGCATTGTAAGATCCAAAGCAAATGCCAAATGCAACTCCCCTCCCCAGCACTACTCAAAACTAACAATCTTGTTTTCCAAGCATGACTCAAAACTAGCAATCCTGAAGGTAAAAATATAAAGCAAGATAACTATTTTGAAATTCAAATAAACACAGCCACAGTATGATCTGTAAGTAGCCGTGCACTCCTTTTCTTAAATGTCTCATGAATTCTGAAATAGGGATTACAAAGTAATTCCAGCTTTGTCATTAACGATAAGGAAGAAGGAAGATGAATTCAGAATACGTTTCTATCTGGAAAATTTCCCCACGTCTGGTATGAAAAAGCAAACAAAAAGACTGTGTGCAGAGTATCCATGGAAACTCCTCTCTCAAGTACTGTTTTCTACAAATTCTGTTGTTCTGAATTTTGCGTCAAACTACAGTAGACAAATGAAAAAGGAATTCCAGTTATATTCAGACCATTAGTATAACTTTAGAGCACAAGAACTGTAATGTACATCTTTTAAATCTCTTGAGAATTGCTAGGGTTTTCTGAAAGCGGAATGCTGCAGTTTCCCAACATGATGCAAGAATGTGTATGTTAGTAAGAAAGCCTGCAAGTTTGTTCATATTGGCATAACTTGTGTTTTTTCCTTTCAGCAGCACTAGCAGTGCAAAATGTTCTTCACTGGATAGCCTTAACATACAGCACTCTGAGCAAAATGGGGTAATGGACTGGAGAAGAAAAAGTTGCATTGTCCAGCAGCACCCAGAGCACTGTACAAACCTACTTGACCAGGTGTGTTGCTGTTTTTTCTTTAAAGCAGTATTCTGAGACGCTTGAGAAGACTGTCCACTACACGTGATTAGATTTAGCTTTAAAAAATGAAGAGTCCTGCTAAAATTGTACAAGTAGGTGTTGAAGTTCAAATTGCTACTGACTCATCTTGATTAGAAAAACCCTCATAATTACTTACCACTGTCTTATAAAGTTGCATATTTTGTTTATGAATTTGTAAATAAAATTTCCCAGTAGGATATAAGTAATCAGAAAAGTCTAATGTTCATTTCTAATTAGACACTTTCCTGTTACTGTACATATTGTCATCAGAGAATTTCAGAATGCCTGGGGAATTTCTATGTTATTGCAAGGAACAAACTAGAAGCTGTATTAATAACTGAACCATATTAATGCTACCGTAGGGACAACAGGTTAAGCATATTCTTTCTATCTCTCCTGCATTATCTAAGTAACTTAAGTATTAATCTTTGTTGAAAAAAATTAATAGCTAGATGCATATACACTTTTTGTGAGATTTGTGTCTTTTCAATGGTCAATTGTGATGTGAGTATAGTTGAGAATAATAATTATAAATAAAATAATCTACTGAAATTGGGGGAAGGAAGGTTGCTCACTGCTTACATCTGAAAAACTTTGAATGTTAGCATTGCTTAATATTACTCTTATTCTACATGCAGAATTTGGCTATTGATTATTATATGGGGAATAGCAAGCCAAACAAAAAGAGCTTCCTCATTTCGCAAAGCAGGGTAATGAATTGAGATTTGCTTCTAAAGAGAAATGGTAGACTGCATCAAAGCTTGAAATATTGCAAGCTTGAGGCAAGAAAAAGAATGAATACACTAAAGCAGAGGAACAGCTACTTCCTATTTAAAGCATGTCCAAATGCAGTATATGTGGACAGAGATTATTTCTGAGTTTTCATAAATTTTACTCCTTCGCCAGATATGTTATTTTACTAGCAGCTAGTAATAGTATACTTAAAGAATTATGCAGATGCTACGTTTTTTCTTATGTGCTTCTAGGTTGTATTCTAGAGTTTAATTTAGCAGCAGCCTCCAGTTTAAGGCTGGGTACCTGCTTTGTCACTATGTAAAAATAATTTGCCACATGTATTTCCCACTCCCCAACCATCAAATAATTCCACTTAAATCAATAAATTCTGTAGCCCCTTAAGCCTTGTGATTAGCCTTTTTAGCAGGTATGTGATGAAACACGGTTGTTTTTATCCTCAAGAGGAAAAACAGCATGCAAACAATAATTTGATTGTTTGGAATCTTTGGAATATTTGCAAGTAGTAATTTGCTCAGTGTTCTGCTGATAATGACATAAACGCAAGACGATGCATTATTCTAAAGGCCTGGATGCACTGTACAAGTAGTTGTTTGTATGCTTATAGCACCTGTGGGCACACTGGTGTTGGACTCAAGGACGTGTCGGTCTAGAAGGGGTTTTTTGCTTGGCTTTCATGATACAAATGCTGTTGTTTGACTGGCATCTTTGTGTTTTCTGTCTAGCATACAGCGGAAAAACGAAGTCTGTCTACAGTAAGCAAGAAGAAAGGAAAGCCACAGCTGGAAAAGTAGGTTTCCAATGTAACCAGTTATCCAGAAACAAAGTGTAATGCATTCACTCTGTTAAACAGAGTCTACAATCAATGAGGTGCTTTGTTTTGCTATTGTGGAAAAAGAGCTGGCATAGTGTGAAGCCAGTCTGCATAAAAATCCTTATTTTATCTTCTGAAAAGAAGTAACTTGAAAAATAGAATGTAATTCTATGCATTCATTTCTCAAAATATCAGTTGTCATTTAGCAAAAAGATGAAGGAGCAGCAGTAGGTTCTTAACCAATACCAAATTGCCTTTTTTCCCCTTTATATTTATTTGAAAGTTAAAAGGTGTAAAGCTGTCCAGAAAACACTGAAAATCAAATAAGGATTGACAGCAACCTTTAACATTACACAGTGGGTGGTAACTTGCTGAGATATTTTATTGAAGATAATTTGCACATCAGAGGGCTTCAGAACTTCCTGTGGGCTACACAATCCTGCACTGTGAGGAAGTGAACACAGTTCCACCCTTATCTAATACTCTGCCTACTTCCAAGTTGACTTTCTGTCATTTTGTTACTCTGTAGCCATATGCTTTTATGCTAGTCTGATGTATGGCTGCATTACACACATCACCTTTCAAAGACAACTTCCGTATCAGCTGCACCATTTCTTTTTTTTTGTGTGTTTTCTTTTTTAGATCTTTATTCGTATTGTTTAGTAACACTGCTTGCAGTTTAGTTCCTGGTATATTGCACTAACAGTCTTTACCTATTTATTATCTACATTTGTTGTTCTGTCTATTAAATACACATTTCTGGCCTGGAGTCACTGCCTTTGTTTACAGTGACATTATATGTTCATTCGTGGTTGGTTATTTGTGCCCATGCATTTGGAAAAAAAAATATGAAAATTATTTACACAGGGAGAAAGCAAAGAAAACTGACTGCCGGTTGAATAACAGGACTAATGGAGTTAGAGTTGCAACATCACAGCACATCCGTACAGGGACAGCAAAAGGTAAGATGTTTTTTCCCAAACTGTTTGTAAGAAACAGAATTTCCAACTTTGCTGATTTTTTTCATTGTTCTGCTGTAAAGGGGAAATCACAAGTTTGAAATCTGTTTTGGTGCAAGTCAGCACGTTGGCTATCTAGTCTGTGCTTTGACTTGCTGTATAGAACATGCTAGACTCAGTCTTCTGTATGCAGTTGTTTAGAGTGTGTCTCTTTTTATGCGTAACTGGGAAAATACTAGTAAAATGTCCATAGGTTGCCTTATGTGGAGCAGTAGTTACAGAAACAGTTACTGTTGGGCTACTTCCATATGAAATTTAACAGTCTGAGCGTGTGGAGGTCTAGCACCTTGTCATTGGTGTTCTCTTTGCAGCTCACTAGTTCCTTCAGCTGTTGTGGAATCACACATGAGGAACCTGTATAAAAACCCTCTGGTTGCGAACCATTGATGAACTGTAGTATGTAAACAAGTGACCACTGAGGTACAACGCAGTACTGTGTGTGCTGCCCTAACAGGGTTTTCAAGTTTGGGTGATTCAGCATAATCTAGTGTCTAGGCCAAGACTTGTGTACATCAGTTAGTTATAAGACAAAATTATAATTGTGTTCCTTTAGTAAATTGAGTCTCCAAGCTTTATTACAAATTTCTGAAGGGCTGTGTTGCCCATTGACTTTGCCATCTTGATGTTTTCTAAGCTCCCAATATCAGTTGCAGGCTTGCATGTCTTATACTTAGTTCTTAGAACAGAAAGTTGACAAAGAATTTGCTTTTTTCTACGCCACCTAATTGGTGTAAGTGTTGAAAGGACACTTGCAAGGTTTTCCTCTTGCTTCCATTTGGGGTACAGTCTTGATTAAGCTTTCATTCTTCTCACCTTTTGTTACCTTCTACAAACAGTATTTGACTAAAACTGTAAGTAAATTCACAGTTCACAAACTTAGCAAAACCAAGACAATTTTAGAAAGCTATAGCTAAGGGCTGCGCAAGCAGAAAACATATACCACAGGACAGCTTTGCTGCGTATATTTCTGATTACTGTTCATTTTGTCAGGCACCAAGCTTTTACGAACTGACAATAACTTTTAAGAGGTGGTGCAATTTTGTGATGTAGTGCAAAGTTAAATAAGGAGTCCTTTGCCACAGGAGTTCTGTCCGCTCACTACCCGCTACTCTACAGATGTTAAACTGCCTCCCTAATACTGTTGGCTAGTTAAGGCCACTTCAAGAAGAAACTGCAACCCACAGAGGCTGGAAGCAGTTAAGTCCTGCTCAGAGACCTGTACCTGTGCATTTGTGTACAAATACCAAAATGTCTTTTGAGATACCTTGTTGGAGACATAGTCTAAAGAAAACATTTCATGTTGCAGTCAGAATCTCTGCCTAGCTTTATATATCCAGGCTTGGTTTGAAATGCTCTGTTGTGGGTTAGTAACTCTTAACTGCATCATGTTTTCTTCCATTTTTACCTCCCTATTTTTAGCTTTTCTGAGGCATCAGTTAGTTACACTTGTAACTTTGAAGACTTCAAACTTTGTGACTAGCATTTTAGACTCTTGCTTTCAGTGATGTGAGGTTGACACTGCTGCTCCAGGTTATATTAGATATTCAAAACACTTGTTAAAATAATTTGACCAATTACAGGTTTAATCCAGGAAATTATTTCAAGAATTGAAGCATTAAGGCAGCTTTTTGATGACTTATCCCAACCTGTTAAACTTGGACTAGCAATAACAAATGAATTAATAATTTACAAATAAAACAATAATAATTTGTTAGAATGAATAAAATAAATGATAGTATTCTAATTTCTGTCCTGGAGTTTTGCCAACCAAGACTTTGGGGTTGGGGTTTCCTTGAAGCTAGTGTCTGGCATACCTTCTGAGAGAGGGTGCATCTGTCTTGCTCCTTCACCTCTGAGGCTGAACTTGAAAGCCAGAGCATACTAGCTACTTACTTGACTTCACTAATAGGATCTAAACCCACCCTGAAAGCTGGTTTGCAGCAAATGAGTTTCCCGTGAGCCCATTCAGAATTCGGAAAACAATTTTACACTTTTTCAGTTCACCTCTTTTTCTTTAAACAGGTTTTGTTGATACAGTTTGCTTAAAGCCTGTTCTGGAAGAGTTAATTGTGAAAAGGTGTATTATTTTTATGTTGCCCACTGAGTTAGCTAGCTTTCTGCCTTTGCTGGTATGACCAAGGAGTATTGCATATCTTTGAATGGCAATGTTTGATCACTAGCATTTGGTGGAAATTATTATAGTACAGTTTGGTATAAGCATCACAGAATTTATTAAGGATGATCATTCTTTTCACTACTCTGCATAAATATCAATTTTCAGTGTCACCTCCTTTAAGGATTCAGTCACCACAAATTTAGGGACAAGACCAGTCGTGAATGCTGGGAGTGGGAATGCTAGGAATACAGGGGACAGATGCAATTAAGTAGGAACAAACAAAAATCTGAACTAGCCCGAGATGTGAGCAAACCAGAATAACCTCACTTCCATATACTGAGATTAAAAATAAAAATACCAATTTTTATTTTTAGATCTGAATTTGGACGCTGGATCTGGTCATGATACATGTGGAGAAACATCATCTGAAAGTTACAGTTCTCCTTCTAGTCCACGACATGATGGGAGGGAAAGCTTTGATAGTGAAGAAGAAAAAGACAGAGGTTGTATTTATGGAGAGCGTGCATGAATGTCTTTATTCCTAGACCAATCTCTTTCTTGTATAAATTTTAATTCATTTCTCAGTTTTATTAGCTGCTATTATTTCTGAACTAGCCACAGAACACATTTGGCTTTATGGGTTTCGTGAATTGATGGTTTGAAGGCTTCTGGCAAATAGCAGGGCTGTTTAAATACTGCTGAATTTTAGATTGCTACATACATGTAGTAATTTTCTGACCTCAGTGGCATAGCTCTCTTGAGAAATTTCAGCAGTACAGTAATGGGAAAAACTTTGGCATGAAGGGGACTGGTTTTATATCGAGTTACGTGTGGCATGTCTGAGAGGTCTTCTTCTTTGTATTGATGGTTTAATTTGTCACTCCTTCCAATTTGAATAAGCCATATTAATGTCTTTCTAGGTAGATGCAAATTCCTAATTCGGACTGTGTCCTACTCTTCACATTTGCAGATATACACAACTCAAAGACACAATAGCTAGTTGGGCAGGTTGATATAGGCAGGTGATGGAAATTGACCTAGCTTGATGTGGATGAATGAAAATAATCACAAAGTTATTATAATTCAGGAAGATATAACTATCACTTGTTTCGTCAAATTTACAAAGTCTTATATGGGTAAATGAGTCCAGGGCATGACTATATTTTTTCAGATTCGTTGTTCTGACTGACATGCTTTTGTCTCCACAGATACAGACAGCAATTCTGAGGACTCTGGGAATCAAAATACAGCCAGGTTTACAGGCTACAGTGCTGTCAGTTCATCAAATATGAACAAATCATCTGCTCAGATCTCTTCAGTGAATAATGAAAATGGAAGCCTTTCAGAAGATCCTTTGAATGCAAAGTTTCAACATATTTCCTTCATGCCTGCCTTACACTGTGTGATGCACAGCGCTGCCCAAAAGCCTGAAGCAGTTGTCCCGCCACCCATATCTGCAGATGGTAAAACAATGGGAATGCTTGTTACCACGCCTGTTGCTGTCTCGCCAGTGAGAGAGTCTGCAAATTCACCTCCTGGTGGAATGGGCCCAGTGACCTCTGGTGAACCTGAGAAACGCCTTGAGCTGATGGCTTCCCCTTTGCCAGTCCCATCCACTTTCCTTCCACATTCTGTCCAGCCTGCTAGCCCTGCTTTGCATTTGGCAATACATAGATTGAAAATGCCCTCTCCACAGGGATCATCAGAAAGTTGCACAGTTAATGGACCACAGCAGCCGACAGGAAACTTAAGTATTGGATCACCAAATACTGCCTTTATCCCAGTCCACAATCCAGGTAGTTTCCCAGGATCCCCAGTTCCTACTACAGATCCCATCACAAAACCTGCATCCCAGGTGGTAGGACTGAATCAAATGGTGCCTCACATTGAGGGAAACCCAGGAGCAATCCCTCAGCCTACCAATCTAAAGGTAGTTCTTCCAGCAGCTGGTCTCTCCACAGCAGCACCGCCACCTCCACCAGCTTCATATGCTTTGCCAGGCAGTCCTCATGCTACCAGTGTGTTGCCCAACCAGAATACAAATGTGCTAAACACTGTAGCAACTTCCTCACCACCTCAGTCAGCTGGTTTAGGTGTTGGTCAGGTCCAGTCCACTGTTCCTCCTGCAATACCTACCCATACGCCAGGCCCTGCCCCTAGCCCGAGCCCTGCTTTAACACACAGCACTGCACAGAGTGACAGCACATCCTACATAAACGCTGTTGGAAATAATAACACTAACGGGACAATGTTACCTCCGCAGCAGTTGGGATCTGGTCCTTGCGGTTCTTGCGGACGTAGGTGTAGTTGTGGGACCAATGGAAGCCTTCAGATTAATAGCTATTTTTATCATAACCCACTTCATGGACAAGTCTACAGAGTTCCATCTTTCTTCACTCTGCCATCACTTTGCAATGGCAGCTACCTCAATCAAGCACATCAAAGCAATGGAACACAACTTCCTTTCTTCCTGCCTCAGTCTCCATATGCAAATGGGCTTATGCATGACCCAGTGATGGGGAGCCAAGCCAACTATGGTATGCAGCAGATGGCAGGATTTGGGAGGTTCTATCCTGTATATCCAGCACCTAACGTAGTTGCCAACACAAATGGGTCGGGACCCAAGAAGAATGGGAACGTTTCATGTTACAATTGTGGTGTAAGTGGACACTATGCGCAGGACTGTAAGCAGTCATCCATGGAGGCCAGTCAACAAGGTAATCATGATAACTCCCAGCGGACTTGCTTTTGAGTTTAGCAGTTTCTCTTTACCTTTCTGAATGTGCTGTTTCTGGTCTTGCAGAAAGGTGTGCGTGCGTGTGTATGTTTTGTGTAAATGGTTGTGCACTAGTGACCTGCTCTAAAACTGCGAAGCATCTTAATCTCTGCCTGAAAATTTTGTAGAACAGTGCAAGGGAATGGGGTTCACAGTGTGAAGTTGAAAATGCGTGTAATTCGGACCTGGGAAGTCAAACTATATTAGTCCTAAATTGTCATTCTTTTTTCACCGGTTCATTTTTGGCATTATGTTGAGACTTGCATGTTGCTTCAATTTTTTTGTTCCTGTTCAGTGGTTTTTTTGAGAGAATTCGTTGGCAAAAAGTGAAAGATATCAATTACTGTCTATGATACAAACTTGGATTCTTAAAACGTGAGAATTTAAAAAAACCAACAGACTGGCCATTTGATAATTTAACTTTTCTAAAGCTTACCTTTGCACAATCAGCCATCGTTCTGTGTCCCATCATGCAATACATAAATGAAACATGCTTTAACTTTTCAGAAAAGTTGCAGCAAAAAGGCGGAAACCAATTGGAACTAAAAATCAAAGGAATGGCTTCAGTCTTATATGCCATTTCTCTCTCCATCTAGAAGAATGGGGAAAATGCAGTGTTTGCATAGAGCATAAACTTATTTTTGATTCTTGGCCTGTGCCCATTCTGACTTGTTTGGTTGGACTGGAACAGGAAAGACGAACCTTGATGGGGGTCTTCTTTTCTTTGCATTTTTCCAGTAAAGTCCTATATCTACAATCTATATCTTTTTTAAACTTACAGTTTTAGCAAGCAGATGAAAGAAAAATAGTAGAAACTCTTAGGGCCTACTTTAAAAGGACTGAAGGATGATAGTGCCTTTTGAAGAGCATGTCCATTTTGATACCTTGTAGTGGTTTTGTAATCCATTTTAATTGTGAGCAGTGACTTAGTAGTTCTCTTTCCTGTTTTAGGCACTTACAGACTGAGATACGCACCTCCCCCTCCCCCTTCCAATGATACCTTGGATTCTGCAGACTGAAACAAGTAAACATTGCCTACTTAAACTGAAGCTTGGGAAATTGGGGGAAGGTGTGTGTGGGAGGGGGGGGTTGGTCTTGTGTTTTGGGACATTCCCGGTTTTATATTCTTTTGGAATTTTTCATTGCTTTTGCACCTCTGTTCCATACAAAAGAAGAAAGCTGAGTCCCTGATCTCCTCCTGGTTCTACAAAAGGCTTGCGTAATGCATGTAATTCAAACACACAGCCAAACAATCAAAAAGAGCATTCGAACCATGCTTTTGCACTGAAGACTTGAGACATGTGCAATGTTTACTGCATTTTTAAAAAAAAAAAAGTCCTCTGACCTCTGACATCACTGGTGGAGCAGCCATATGGTGAAAGAAGAAACTTGGTCATGTTCCCCACCACAATCTTCTTCCCTCCCTCCCTGTTCTCCTTATGCTGCTGTTTTGTTTTCTTTCCCTGTTTGTCCACGTGGAGTCGTTGGACTTGCATGAGTGTTTAGCATATCATACAGACCCTGCCCGTACTCTAAATTAATGCTCATGAATTGAGGGGAGATGTTCAAACATCCTATTAGGAGAGTCCAAAGGAGCACACAATACTGTATGTGTACTATATCTGATAATAATACATGTACACAGCTCGCTCTTGAGAGTCCCAAATAAATGAAAATACATAGAGCAGGAAGGGGCTGAAACTGTGTGGACTGGAACAGATACAGAAAAATTAACGAGCTTAAATTGACAGATTTTTCTTCCATTGTAGCTTTTTAGCCTGTATGTTCAGCAACAAAGGTGAAAAAAATGGTATGAATGTTGTACTCAGTGTGTTTGCATTTGTAATGGAAGTTGACAGCATTTTTTCCTTTTTTAAAGCTATTCTACATCGTGTCAACACAGAATGAACATTACTTGATTGAATATTTTTTCCTAAACTATTACAGTGTTGCATTGTACTTAGAATGTAAATGTTTTATTTCAAACTGAACAAAAGCTATGGTTTTCTACAAAATAGTCAGGTATTAGTATTAGAACCTGTCTACCAAATAGCAAAGTCACTATTTTATAACAATTTACCACTATGCGTAATTACGGTATAATGTGAAAGACTGAAATGAGTGTTAAGATGGTATTAATCATGTCAGTATCATGAGTAAGTAAGTTTAATGCTGCTGTATTTTTTATTTTATTTTTAAAAGCCAATATATGTACTAAATTGCTTCCAGGTAATATTTGATTTCCTAAAGTGCACTGAGGTTATCTGGAAGATGAGTGTATTTTTTGACTGCTGCATTCAACACCGATGAACAACTACCACTGTATATCCATAGGGTTTGGCATTCCTCACAGTTCATGGCAGAAATGTTTTTTCTTAAAATCAGACTTAGTGTCCGGTAGAGGGATGAAATAAAATCAATCTTTGGTTCAGCCGTCTAATAAATTGCTAAACAAACAAAAAACTTGAAGAAAAAAAGCTTGATTACTACATTTCTTCATAGGTAGCATTTATATTTATAGCACCAGTGTACATTTTGAAACTTTTTTCTTGGAGGGGGGGAATGGGGAGGGAGGTAGATGAAAGCTTTAATTTAAAAAAAAGTTTAAGTAGTAAATGAAAATTATTTTGATTAAAATTTTTATTTGATCTGGGTATTTTTGGACCACTTGAAATGAATGAACTGCGTTTGAGTTGAAGTGAGGGTGTTAAACCACCAATGGACTTGTATTGTGAATTACCTGCCAGTTGTACTTTATGGAACTTATTTTATGATTTAAAATACTGTACTGTAAATAGGAGGTATGTTACCTTCTCTTTATTTGTATGTTTACCATATACTTTGATATTTGAAATGTACTGGAAAGGTCACTTATATTTCTAGAAGAGATTGGATTTTATGCAACCTTTTTCCTTGAATTAACAGCAATAAAAAAAAGAAAAAAAAGTACCTGTGTGTAAGTACTGTCCTTTATCACTGGGAACAATGAAATAAGTGTGATGCTCTGCCTCTGGGTATAGGGATGTGATCGTGGAAGGTTTTGGCAAGCTACCATTTTGGTTGGAATCTGTCACTTTTAAGACAAAGCTGAGAGTATTTGACTTAAGTATTTGACTTAAGGTCAGTCTTGTATCTGAAGTCAGGATACTGTCTCTTGATTTAAACTTCTTTAAGATAGATAGGTCTCTTGGGAGAAAGAGGATGACCTTGTGTGATAGACCCAGGACTTTGACTTAAGCTCTTTCAGAACAGTTAAGCCTGTCTTATTCTGATGGCTCCTGGATTTGGGCAAAGACCCAGTTTAAACATGGGGTTTTTTGACTGCAGTGCAGGTAATGTGTGTGCTAGTCATGTATTAAATGGAAAGAGACCTTTCTTCTATCTGCTAAAATAGATGGAAGGACAACAGGAGTTGCCAGGAGTGGGGAAGAAGCTTAGAAACGTGCAGATTACAGCTGAAGGGCCTGATACAAATGTAGTACCCATGTGTGCTTGGGTTGTACTGAGAAAGAGAAGGATACTACTCTGTCACCTCGCTTTACTGTATAGACAGTGCTTCTGATTCCTACTGCTTAGCAGCAGCTTATCTACAGAGCTGAGGACCACAGACTATCTTAGATCTTTATCCCAGCTTACTCCCCAGAACAGCCTGCTTCCTGAGAAACCAACTAATGTGATGAGAGGGGTCCAAGTTGCCAATGAACCCAACCTCTTTTCAGGCAACTCCTGAAATAATTGGGGGGGGGGGGGTATTGAAGCCAGGTGTCATGCAGACATCATCATACAGATGACATCCTTCATCATACAAGACATCATACATGTCATCTCCTCCCCAGACACAAGGGAGTGCGTACACCTATCCAAGGAATTTGTGAACTACCATATTACTCTGAAAATGCAATTTGCTACTTACCATGGTGTCCAAGTTGCTGATACTCTCATTTGCCTCCATGCTGCAAGCAACCCTGACTTTAATAGATCCTGATTGGATCTATCAATTCAAAAATTTAAAAATGCATACCCTCTGGCACAGCAAAGAGTATAAAATGCCTGATTGTTCTGATGCTTGTTTTGCGGGAGACCTAACAGCACTTGTACCTAGCTGTCTTCTTTGGCTGCACCGCTTCTGTGTGGGTGGTCGTGTTCAACTACAACGGCAGTTCAAGAGAGAGATTCTCCTTCCCACTGAATGCCTTGGAAACAGTTGAATGCCCTAAAGATAAATGAGAAAATCCTACTAGCTGGCTGGCCTGAACAGCTATGCAAGCTGTCCAGGAGTGACTCCCGAGTACTACACTGCTCCTGGTTTGTATTGCCTGCTGCAGTGCTGCTGCAGATGGAAACCTATTGTTTGTGCAAACCATTTGGTTCCTAAAGCTGGAAGAAAAAATGAACGATGAGGCGAGTACCGACAGGGTTGGAAAAATGAGAGCACAAGGGAGCACGGTGATGCACACTGCTTGCTTATGAGTGAACAGATGGCCTCATTTTCCCAGCTAAGCAACTTTAGGATGGCACCGATGGCTTAATGCCTAGGTCTTGACTTAGCTGATACTGGCAGAGAGGTGAAGGAAGAGAGGGCGTATGCATCAACGTCAAGGTAGATGGAAAGTGAAAGGTACACTGAGAACTGCGAAACTCAACCAGTGCCAAGCTACTTTAGTTGTAAAGAGATAGAAGTACCGTTGTAATTTGTTTCAGTTTTGCTCATGGCTGCCTCTAGAGGTGCGCTGACCTGGGCCTCCTGCAGCTGCTTTTCTGCAATAAGGTTGCCTGAATTCTGTGCACACAAAAAAGCGGCTTTGGGTAATAGTGCTTCCTGCTCAGGGCTGGTAACTATGGCTGCTAGAATCAGGCACAATATATAGATAAAGGGTATGTGGATTGCACTTGTGCTTGGGAGGAAGAAGAAGAGGTGACCTAAAGGCGTAGTCATGAGGTTATACTGGGGTTCGAGTGCTGTCCCCATTTCGCAGACAGGCTCCAGGTACTAACCTACAGTCCTGTGCTCCTCTAACAAAGGAGGAAGGAAAAGCCCATCTCAAAGCGTTATCGCAGGGAGAGCGTGCTGCCTCTCTACCCGCCGCTGTTGCACGTCTCGGTAGCTAATTGTGGTAGAGAAAGAGGGTTCTAGTTTTGATCCAGCCTTTGAGCGAACAGTGGCGGGCAGTTGAGTTCTGTACATTGGAGTAGCTTAGAGATCAAGATGTACGAAGAGCTGGATTTGGTCAGGCCAAAAGTCCAGCTATGCCTGCAGCCTGTCTGCAGCAATGATCAGTAGCAGATATTTAGGAAGAAAGTACTGTTAATAAAAAGAGAAAGACAAGTAGTAATCGTTGCGAACGTGTCACCCAGCAAAATTTAATGAGTCTCTTGAGTTCATCTTCACAATAGATGGCAGCATTACTCTACCAGTGGAATGTACGGGAACTTCCGAGGTGCCATGGGAGATGCTTCAGTTTAGTTCGGGTTTAACATCTTTGTGCCATCAAAGTAAGCTTATCGGGGGATTTCTTTGACTTGCGATTTGGTAACATTACTTTCTGTAGGGTTTTCTCATGTTTAGCATACTAATTGTTGTCTCAAAAAAATAAGCATGCTAAATGCCTATCTGAAGTATTAACTACCTAGCGCTAAAACAGCCCCGGTCTCATAGTGAACACTGAAGACCTGGAGAGTTGCGATCAAATGTGAAAACTGTGTCTTAAGAACTACTGAGCATTAAAATGGTTCTAGATACTTGTATTCATACAATGAGGAATGCTTTCTGAGGACCGTAAAACTTTTTGCAAACTAGAATAATTCCTGAGGGAGTCTGGTTATCTTTCAGGATAATGCCTCTCATTTATCTCTCTCTACTTAGTATGAAGGTCCACAGATCAGGTATTTATCCGGAATATCTTGTGCTCAGGAACATGTTGCCGGAGAGACGGACCATAATAAACACATTATTTTTAATATTGACACATGCTTCCTGGTTAGTGTAAAGGGTCACTGCTGTATGAATGGGTCAATAAAACAAAGTACAAAAGCACCATCTGAAAAAAATGTGCTGAACTTGGTAAAAGGATAGAATAGCTGTATCTTAACATTAGTGCATTCATTTTAGAACTCTCCTCTTTGATCTAAAAGGGCCATTTTTTTATTGACTTCTAAAGTATGTTTTTTTCCTGGGACACAGGATGTTGATGACTGATAGAAAGTTAAGAATTAACTCCTACTGATTCTCATTTGTGGGACTAAGGAAAGATGGGGATTGTTGCTTAAAAAACTTATTTGCCATTTAAGTTTGGTGTTAAAGTACTGGTTAGGGACTTCTTAGAAAAAAATAGTATTATACATAATAAAATATCATTTACATAATAACATATTACATTGAAATAGTCTTATTTTACATCACTTGCAGTTTGAAGGTTTAAACCATGGCAATTTCAACAGCTTCAGATATTTTTCTTGTTTTGGCTGAAACTGAGTTTTGAAACCGATGGCATGTCTAGGTACAGTAGTCAATATAATGTATAAAAGTAATTGTGTTGCTATCAAAATGCTCTTCCCCTTTTTTTTAAAGTTTTTTTACAGGATATGTACATGCCCCAGCAAAAGAGTGGACAGCTTAGCAGTGGCAAGACTTCTGGATGAAAACATCATGGGACTTATTTTAATTGCTCCTTAAAGAGCAGGTTGGCTCTGAGGTGCATATTGACTAGGACTTCTAGGTACTTCAAACTGAGCATGGAAATCCTGGCCTCTGCCAACATATGAAAGAAAAGTCACGAATGAAAAGATCAGTAACATGTGAGGAGGGGAGGGGAAGGGAAAGCAACAGCAACATCAAAAAAATAACCAACAGGCACTGGGGTGTGCTTGAGGCGAGACAATTTTCACACATCACTCAATTTCTTACCGCAGCTCAGATCCATTTCATAGCAAAAAGAACTTCAAAAAGCAACTGTGTCTATTTGGTACAAAACCAGCTGAGTTCTGCGTTTCACCACAGTGCAGTTGACCGTATCAGACGCATAACGGAGGAGATGGGCACTTCCAGCAACCTACATAAGGCTAAATCATGTGGACTTGGAACAGACTACAATAATACATATAAAATCTTACAGTGTTCATAATTGTTACAGCTACACAGAGTTGTCAGCTAGCTAATATGCCCTTCAGAGTGTTGTCTCCCTTTGTCTTCTTTTCCATTTTTAATTTATGTGTTAATCTTTTCTTTTTTTTAACTTGCTTCTGTCCTGATTAGCCTTTTAAAGTCTATTTTACATCCATGCTAGAACCATGCACATGATGGAAGGCCATTTGAAATGCTTTAATCCATGGTATGCAAATTCCCAAACAATAATATTGGAAAGTTGCTAATCTTAAATAAAATAACCTGTGCAAGGGGGTAGCTATTTCAGTGTGAGCCTGTGCCAGTATCTGCCCTTGCAAAGGCAACTAAATGGGAGCTGAGATGTAGCATTGCACTTTGAAACCATCCCATTTTTCTTCCTTTCTAAGGAAGGATCTCTCATTTCTAGCATGTTCTCAGGTGGAGGAGGCAAAGAGTGGGATATTAAT